CCCACCCGGCCGGGCCTGCGCACCCCGGTGCCGCTTGGGACCTCCCCCCGGCCCCGGCCCCGGCCTCGGCCTCGGCCTGCTGCTCTGCCCCAGCCTCCGAGGACGAGGCTGCAGGGGCCGCTTGTCTCGCAGCAGAAGGGAAAGCGCCCCCCCAAACCCCACCGGGATGGGAGAGCTGGTCAGGGTGAGTGGAGCTCTGCTCGCCGGCCAGAGAAAGGGACATGGTTTTGGGCTCGTAGCCGGGCCGGCCGGGAGCACCGAGAGCCTCATCCCAAGCTGGCTTCAGTCAAGAAGCAGAGCTCCACTGACTGCATGTACTGAAGTCAGGCCACACACACACACACGACCGTCTGTAAAACCAAACTATTTACAGTGCACAACACCGTACCTAAAAAGGCCCAAAAGTTTTGGGAGAGGTAGCATTGTCCCCCACCCCTTTCCTCCCTCCCCCACTCCTCACAAATCAGCATTGAAAAGACTAAATGTTTGAATACTGGGAAAACCAAACTGTTAAACATGAATGCAGCTCATGTCTGTATTTACCCTGCTCTGCCACCAGCTCTGGCAGCATCACTGCCACGCTGCCAGGGCATGTGGACACTTTGGCACTTCTGGCAGCACCACCAAGCAGCTGTGCCACCAAGGAGCTCGGTCTACTCCAAGAAGGCATCGGCTGTTGAACTGACTGTAGCAACTGACTGAAGTCCCGAGGGCCTGCACACCGGGGTACGCACATTCGCAAAGCGCTGTCAGCAGAATTCTGGATCTTGGAAAAGTTTGCAGTGTGGACTAGTCCCAAGGCTGAGCTCCAACGCCAGTTTGAAAATAAAATAACAGAGCAACTCATTCGCTCAGCTTTATCACAAACATCCTTACCTTAAGATTATGTCATCATTTGATATTTGGGAGGGCAGGAATTACCTTTCCTAGAACTGTAATACTTTAATGGAATTTTAAACACAAACATTTTCTTCAAATTATACTGTTATTTTCCTTTTATTTTGTAAAGCTTTGAGTAGTAAAAGGACAAAACCAAAAATCCAAATGGCAAGAAGTACATTTGTTCTGCCAAGTCTCAAATGACATTTATAGTATGCCTACAATGCATTACCCACATAACTATGTACATCTTTATCTTGAAGACTGGTGATACATTTTAGTTTTGCTTTGCTATTTAGGCACAGAAACATTCTGGAGTGGTAAATTTCCTGAAAATATTTACAGTTTATTTTGCTGTTTATTGTTTTATGAAATATTGAATAATATATACATTTTGAACCAGAGTGGGCGACTAAAGTGTGTGTGGGGGGGGGG